CCATGGCAGGGCAGGGAATAACCCAGGATGGGGTGCCACCCCATGGCAGGGCAGGGAATAACCCAGGACGGGGTGCAAACCCATGGCAGGGCAGGAAATAACCCAGGATGGGGCGCCACCCCATGGCAGGGCAGGGAATAACCCAGGATGGGGTGCCACCCCATGGCAGGGCAGGGAATAACCCAGGACGGGGGGCAAACCCATGGCAGGGCAGGGAATAACCCAGGATGGGGCGCCACCCCATGGCAGGGCAGGGAATAACCCAGAACGGGGTTGTTCTCTGAGTTTTGGGTTACCAAGATAACTTGTCACATTTAAGGTCATGTTGGAGGCCATTTACAATGGGGCGCCATGTTTTCTGGCTGACCAGCAGGTTTCACTTTGTGATTCAGGCCCCAGGGTAAGAGGCGGGAAGGTGGCTGCATTCCCTCATAATAAAGAGACTTTCCAGAGCCCAGGAACCGGCATGTTCATTTATCTTCCTTGTATTTCGTCACAACACCGTGCCAAATCGGGTAGGATCAGCACCTCAATCGGCCGAATGAAGGATTTATATATCGTCTGAACATGACAGAAAACACTTACGTTTTGTTGTGTTTTTTTGGTATGATCTTCCCAGGGAGCTGCTCCACGGAGAGAATTACACCAAGCAGGATATGAGGAGGTTTATTTTGTTTGTTTAATACATGACACTCAACTGCACAGTGAGCTATAAAACATGGCATTTTACATAAAATACATTTAAAAATGCAAAAAGTTTACAATACAAATTTTGTACAATTCACATTGTGCCATTAACAGTTTCTCAAAAACATATACAACTTAAAAAGTAAAAAAAATCCAGTGTGACGTAATTGGATTGGATTAGTAAAGTGATCCATAGCTCATTATTTCACCATAATATATATAATATCAAAGCTGCATTAAAATGATTGGACATGCATTCAATATGGTAAAGACTTGAATCTACATAAATTAACCAAATATCATATAAAAAGTAAGAGCATAAGACACAGATTGTAAGATGTTAAAAATGAATCAAGAAGATAGTTAAGGCTCTATAAGTATGTGTTACCATGTGGATGGGCATGGGAAGCGTTTTCTTTACATTTTTGCTGTTTTTGCTACTTTGGGGAACTATTAGCATCCAGATTATAATCATTGATCTTCACATAAATATAATTAGCTCCATGTCCATTTTATACCCATATATAAGAAACACACACACACCCAAGAACAATGGATACATTGTAACTCTGCAATAGAAAACTGGAATCACAAAAGTAAATATTATGGCAGTGTGTCTGACGAGACGAAACAAAGAGCAGAATACTGAAAACTGCAGAACAGAATGGCAATCAGCTCAATTCCAGTATTTGAAGAAGATTCTCCAAAAACTCATAATACAATTAAACTATACAAATTAATTTATACCACCAAGTCAACTTTTACTAATTAAGCTAAAGAGGGTAATAATACTTTTTGAAAAGCTGTTGAAAACGCATCAAGTGTCATTAAAATATAGATTCTACTGAGAGACAAGCACAAGTGTAACAAACTATTATATAATTTAAAAATTGTATAACAAATAATTATATAACTTGCAAAGAAATGGCAAGTACATGATGTACTGAGTGATTTGCAGGCACATGTTTGTGTGTAAAATCATACTGCAGCTTTTTGACGATTAGCTTTTAAAGCACCAGCAGCCCTAAAAACACGGACTTTACTCAGAGCGCCACACTGGGCCCCATTCTGTGCTCCCGTCTCTGTCATGGGAACGGGGAATGATGCAGGCAGGAAGAGGAGGTGACGAGCCACTAGGTGCAGGCAGGAAGAGGAGGTGACGAGCCACTAG